AAGTTGTTTAGATAAGTTAAATTAATTAATGTAATTCAAACTTTTAAATAAATAATTAGTTGATACATATATATCGTTATAAATTTCAGTTTTTATTTATAGGAAAAAGAATTGGGACGCACTCCCATTGAACCAGAGGTTTTCAAAAAGACTCATGTCAGGAAGAAAGAAAATGAGTCGGATCCGGATGTGTGGGTGGAGGAAAGGGCCGAACGAACTTTTGTAAGTTATTTAATATGAATAATATATATCAATAGTGAATATATTTATGATATGTATATATATTGATGTCAATATTTATATTTAATATGCAGAATGACTTTCATAAGTTCGTCGATGAGAATCTAGATAGTTTGGTTCAATTGACACCTGAACTGTCCACTCAGATTTAGAAAGAAAAAGTGATAGGGGGGACACACAAGGGTAGATGCTATGGTCTAGGCTCTCGCAATGATGTTAGACGCCTTCAGTCAGGCTTAGAAGGTATTGGGTCGTCACGTCAAGGTGAGGCACTTGACGGTGTTCAGATTGCTGCTATGTCGGATCAAATAGCTAAACTTACAGAGGCACTAGCAGAGTCGGAGCGGAAAAGAGTAGCTGAACAACAAAGCATGAGTGAGACCGTTCAGCAAATCAAAGAACAAGTGATGGACCTAGCTCGTCGACCTATTACTTCGGCTCCCAATGACACCGACGACGAGAGTGATGAGGATGATTATGTAGATCTCACTCCCTAGTTTAGATCTCTGGAAATTTATGAACTTTTTGAAATTTTAAAACGAATTTTAAAAGACTTTATAAGTCTTTAATTTATGATTTAGATACTTTTGAATGTTATTTTAAGTTTGTTGTTTTATGTTTTGTTTAGATTGTTTATAACTGTGTGTGTTTGATTGAGCTGAATAGTGTAGAATTGAATTGAATTGCATTTGCAGGTGGGCAACAGCAGCTGCGAGCTGCTACTGCGAAAAATATTGCAGAAAAAGCGACGGACAGCGTGGTTTAGTCCGTTGCTTTTTTGGGTTTAATTTTTTTTAAAACCCAGAAAAGCGACGGACAGCGTGGTTTTGTCCGTCGTTTTTTTGGGTTTTTAAAAATAAAATTTCCAGAAAAGTGACTCAGTCCGTCGCTAAAAGAGACGCAATCCGTCACTTTTTTAAAAACGACGTTGTCCGTCGCTTTTTAGCGACGCAGTCCGTCGTTTTTTGAAAAGCGTCGAGCTAAAAAGCGACGGAAGTGACTGCGTCGCTTTTCCGTCTATTTTGACCAAAAAAGCGACGCAGTCCGTCGCTTTTGGCCGTCGTTTTTTGACAATTTTTTAGTAGTGTCGTTGGGATTAGACGGGTATCATCACGTCCATTTTTAGATCGTGACATCTCTGTAAGAACTGCAATCTTGATCTTGCTGCAAGCAGTGACCTGAATTCCTTCCTATCTTTCTCAATTAATTAAAGACTTTATTAGTACCATTTTGTAATTCTCATCAATACATGTTCTTCATTTAATTGACTCCCTCATAAACTTTTCTACGCAACTTTCAAGGCATTGAAATTCTTCATACAAAGATGATCCACATCCCAATCCATTAATTTCGGCACAAACTTCGGTCCAAAGTATTACTGCAATGCTTTCATAATTTTTGCAAAAAATATCGCTTGGAAATTCTTGAAGAGATACAAATTTGTACTTAGCAAATATCAGACTAAAATAAACTGTATTAACATCTTGGAAATGAGGCGTAACGTTTTGCACGGTACGAGTAAACTCCAAGATGGATCAAATCATCTTTGTTCTCCAAAATTTTACTGAAAACTCTTTGTCAACAATATCTCATTATTACCAAATATACAAGCTTCCAATTAGACACTTAAACCTTTCTTTTTTCCTTTTCAATTTTGGTTTCCAATTATCTAATTACTAGTGAACTAAACTTTCAATTTTGGAAATATAATTACCATAGGTTTACGAACTACATTATAATTTCCTTACAGAAAATAAGAAATTTAAGGTTAATTAGAGCTTGTTTGGACTCTCAACTACTTTTGGATGTAGGTGTTTTTTTTGTTATAAAGTTTTAAAGATTCAATAAAGTCAAGGAAATTTTAACCTAATTAAATATAAAACATATATACTTTATTTTTTCTTGAAAAGCATGACTTTTTAAAAAATAAATAAATAAATAAATCATGACTTTATTAAACACTCCAAATTCGAGAATAGAAAACAAATATTAATAACTGATAAGTTGTCAAGTGATGGAAGAAAGTACGAGTTGCATCAAAATTTAAAATAATGTGGTATCTAGAAACATGAGCAAGAAGAGGAATGTATTTTATGAAAAAACCATAAGTTCGATGTATAGTACTCTCTTTAAACATGCGCAAAATTCAATTTCCTTCTTTATTCATTTTTATTCTTTTTTTCATTTGATGGATGTGTGTCAGATTATCTAAAAGCAATACATTATTTAATCGATCTGACATGGGTAGGACAATATTTCTGAAAATTTTAATCTTACCTTAGTTTATACACGGCAATATCCTATTTTTATTTAAATACCCGTTAGAGCTTTTTTGACATTATTCTTTTATGTTAAATTTCATCCAAGTTTTCATAAATTAATGGACTAATGGATTTGTTAATGTGCTTAGAATCTATCATGGTATATGTATTAAATTAGAGTGGTATAAAGTATAAAGCGTGTCATGATGTGAAAGAATTTGAAGCTAAATTTCATGTTTTAACAACTCAAGTAACTATAGAACCTCTCTGGAAAAAGTAAAAGATACAGGGTGTGTTTGGTATGAAAAGGAAAATGTTTTCCAATTTTTTCATGTTTGGTTGGGTAAAATGTTTTCCAAATCAACTCATTTTCCTCAAATTTAAGGAAAATGACTTCCCTTCAAAAATTAAGGAAAACAATTTCCAAAACTCTCCTCCAACTTCATATTACAATTTTTTTTGTTGAAAAAAATAAATTTAAAGCTTATTTAAAAAAATATATTTTCAGCTTCAATTTTTTTATTTTCTTACCCCACCCTCACCCTATCCCCCCCA